CCAAGGGTGGTCAAGTTAAGACCTGGCACGAGGGTGTGAAAACCCTAACCAGGAAACTGGCTCACATAGGTCCTGTTAGGCTCTCTGACTGGGGACCTCGGGATGATCGTAACCGATGGTTAGAGACACTGAGCGATATGGCTGTTAAACAGTGGCGTTCGTGCATCTCCTCACTTTCTTTGCAACCTTAGTCCACTGAACTTCTCCATTTTCTTTTCGAATCCACTTTCAACTCTATTCTTCATCCCAATGGGCAGCCAGAAGACAGCAACCAAAACCGGCGCACGAATGTGCACGGTTAATGGTTGTTCAAACGGAAACTGAAAACTACCCGTACGTACGTGACCACCGTCACACTTCATTAACTGATTAGCAGGCAGGTTAAATCAAGTGTGGGAAGCGGATTTATCGAAGCATGGCGAATGGCAGCTTCACCCACGCAAACGAAACAGTTTCGGCAAACTGTGAAAGAGACCATATTCTTGATCCAACGGCTAGGAACACTGTTTGAATCTATGTGTATCATTGACGAACAACCGTACCGCGTCGTAGAACACACTTTTTTGAAGGCCAGAAGTGCATCCTCAAACAAAACCCAAGCAATGCTAGAGACACGATGATTTGTGTCGGAAACAGAGACGGTCGTGCAACTACCTATGTTATAGATAGATGTAGTTGACTTGCTTTTCTTGTATTTTAATGGTAATGGTGCACTTCGCTTAGAACTCTCAGATTTACTCCTTTTTAGGCGGTTAAAAGGGTAGCCAAAACAGTAAATAAAACCTTCGCAAGACAGTGAAAAGTAAATGAAAATATAGTTATTCTTCACAGGTGAATGAGATCTAATATCTAATCCAACGGTGAGGGAATGTATCCAACGGGTTTCCACACTACTAACTTCATGATTTTCATGAAATCGGGTAATNGTAATTCTAGGCACGGAAAGGGTGAATGTGGACTGCAGTAAGCAACCAAACATCCCACAGAAAGAGTAAATCAAACTGTTGGAGGACCTTGAAATACAAATAGTTCACCAAAGTATAGCAACCCTGAATGAAATTGAGAGACCCACCTTCCGGACAGCGCTCCTAATAGTACTTTTGAGATGTCCAGGGCTCATTCGAAAGGACTGCATTTTGGTTCTGAGTAGTTCCAAAGGGGAAATGGCTACTACGGCAAAAACTCGTGAAGCTCCACCAATAATCGCGGGTGTCCAATCATTTGGCAAATACCAAGTTCGATTATGGTCATTCATTGCTTCATTGATTCGAACAGAGGCATAGCCGACGCGTTCTTTGAGCCAATCATTAATAGTGAAGTAGATAACTGTCTGGGGTAACGCCATGATGCTGAACGCACATCAACATATTTCAGTAAACTTACAGTGTGGGAGAAAGTCCGCTCCATAATGAGGGCAATCCTTCGTTACGAATGATTTTGAAAACAGCATCCTGCAAGAAATAGATGGAGAAAGATTTGGCATGAAAAAACCCTGAGAACATTTTAGTAGCATCAGTGATAGCAGAAAATTGATAAAACCAAACAAATTAGACTACAAAGGACATCCCGTTTGGATCGCTCGTGAATCAGTACTCCTGACTGATCCAAAGCGAAAGATTCTAATCTGTCAGGATCAGCATAGGGACCGGTGGCGCCTGCAAGGTCAACTCAGAAGCCTTAAGAAGTATCGAGAAAAATGATGGACCAAAATACCTCATTAAATGGAGGTAGCTTCTGAATCAGGGAATAGTCAAACACTGGTTCACCTGATACATAGCACAGCAGGTCGTTGCATATTGGTCAGTGAAACCACGTACAATAAAAGAGGACAGTATCCAGGATAAAGAACAGACACTTAATCGCTGGGCAGAGTATTTTAGTGAACAGTCCAATTGGCGTGGTGCTGTGATGATTCCGGTGATTGCAGCGGAAACTCGATGGGCAGTGACATGTAAGCTCCCATCAGAATTGGGAGTACGAAGCTGTATTCAATCAGTAAAGAAAGGGAAGGCTGAGGGACCTGATGAGCTGCTCTCTGTAATTTTCAAGGTTGGCGGTGACTCTCTTGGCAACACGATTACTGACTTGCTTCGCAGCACTTGGTTGGAGGAGTCTATCCCTTTGACCTGGAGTGAATCGTTGATCATCCCGATCTTCAAGAAGGGATCACGCAACGACTGCGCTAATCACCGCAGGATTAGTTTAATTCCGATAATCACAAAAGTGCTAACTTCTGCAATACTTCGTCGCCTGACACCCTTAGGGGAGACGAATGTCCGCAATCAGCAAGCCGGATTCCGATCAAGCCGCGGTTGCCTAAACCAAATCTTCACTCTGCGTCAAGTCCTTGAATTACATCACATACATTGTTGACCAACAATCGCTGTGATTCCTGACCTAAAAGGATCCTTCGATTCGGTTGACTGTGAAGCTCTTATGGGGTTGCTGCTTCGCAAAGGAATGCCGCGGAAGTATGTAAACTTATTGTGATCCTCCCAGTAGCGTCAGGGTCTACGGCAGACTAAACAAACCAATTGAAACCAAAAGGGGTGTTCGTCAAGGATACCCTATTTTGCCATTCT